GCCGGTGGGTCGCTTGGGGCTCATCGTGCCTTGCCATGGCCGGGATGGCCGTGCCCGCTGGGAGAAGCTGCCCGGCTACCTCGCGGGGCAGCGTGGCAAGAGGTAGGCACCAGGTTTAGGAGCTGCTGACAGCCCCATCAGAACAGTTTTTGTGTCATGAGCAAGAGCACTAAAATATATTAAAAAAAAAAAAAAAAAAAAGCTTTCCCTGAGAAGCCCGAACGGATCAAAATTCCCTCTTTCCCCCACCTTTGAGCCCGGCCGGAGGCAGAGCTTCCCGGCTTAGACCCCACTCCAGATTTTAAATAACATATCACGTATCTCACAGAGACCGAGGTCGAGCGACCCAAAGAGGCCCTGTGTCTGCCAGTCACGAGCGGGGCTGCTCCTCTCCCAGCAGCGTTTTTCCAAGCCCCCAGCGCCCCTTTTCGGTGGCCGCGTCCGTGCGGCCAACGCTGCCCCCGAGCCCGCCAGGCTTGCCTCGCACAAGGGAGCTTTTAACATAAATAACTGGTCGTTTACTAGGTTTTTTTCACGCCGGTGGTTAAAACCAAGACTAGAGAAGAGGCCAGCGGGTCTGGCAGCTCGATCAGAGCCGGGCCCCCACCGCGGCCCCGGCCCCGTGAGCGGGGCACCGCGGCCGCCTCCTTTGTTTTTAGCTTAATTAAACTTTCCCTCATCCCACTCAATTAAAACTACAAGCAGGGCCTGGCGGGGCGAGAACAGCAGTATCCTTCGCTCTAAGAAGAACGTGTGCGGAGGTAAGCGCGTTAACCTTAAATAGTATATATGTATATGTAAAATAGTGCATATATATCAAAAAACCTCTCTCGTGCCACGCGGGCATACCCTGAGGGCGATTCGTATTTATGATGCGAGGGGCTCGGAGTAAAGAGGGAATTTGAACCACTCACCCACTAAAGACAACCTTGTAGTCATACAGGGAGAGCAAATAGTTTATTTACATATGGGTTTGTACAACACTTCAGCTACCTGGAAGGATCCACGTTAGCGAGATTTAGCTTTGTTGTCCCCCGTAAAGTATTTCAAGAAAGTACAGAGAAAACGGTGTGATGGCATGTTACAACAATACTGACATCACTTCACTGGCGTTGTAAGTTACAGAAAGATTAAAAATAGTCACAAATCATTTTAGCTGCCTGCTTTTTTCAGGTTTTTCAGTAACGATGGAGTCAGCGGCCTTTGCTCAATTTCATACCAAGCAGCCTTGGAAGTAACAAACAAACAAACAAACAAACAAACCAACCCACCTCCTTGCTTCTACGGCAGCTTTACAATCTGTCAAGTGGGCGGCAGATTTGTTTTTTAAAAACACTGCTCCATGAGAATGGCACATCATATCTTATAGATCAAAACTTTGGGGTTTTGTTTCTTAGGGGATATATATGTATATACACATACATATGTATGTATGTATGTTTTTTTTCTTGTGACCTGCCTTGGTTTATTATCTCGTGGTGTCCTGGGGCGCAGCAGGTATTGATAACCCACGCGACGCGAGAGAGGGAACAGTTCAAGCCTGTGACCAGACGAGGGGGTGAACACTCCACAAATGAAAGCAGCAGCTCCAGAAGAGCTTGATGGAGCAAAGGACGCTGCCAGGACCAGCTTCCCGGTGGCTGAAGAGTTACGGATGGACGGAGCAGCCTCCAGGGCCCTTGCAGACTGCTGTGCTACAGCCCCCAAGGGAAGGGGCTCATCCTGCTGCTGCCCCAAGTGAAAAGCAAGACACCCTCCCCCCTCCCCCATTTAGCACGTCTGCAAGAGGAAGTTAAGGGATAACGCATCATTTCTGCGGGAAATTCCAGCCCTGTTACCCTTCATGCTGCTGACCCCTTTCACTGCCAGTCAGGCAGATGCAGGGTCCTTCCTTAGGAAAAGCTGCCGCAGAAGCCAGGGAGGGAGCAGGAGTAATCCCCAGCACCTAGCCCTCTCCAAGGAGGGCCTACCAACTGGCACTGCAACCTCCCTTTCGACTGCAACGAGCAAAGTAAATCCTCACCCACGCCCACAACGATAATCGCAGCACTGAAGTCAACCTGAAACAGCCAACTTCGTCAAGAGAGATTTTTGTCTGATGTCCGTTTCAAGCACAAAAAGGAAACCAATCGTCTCCAATGTGAACAAAAACTATAATTGTCAAATCAGGACCTTAATATGTAGTTAGCTGTTTCATCATTTTGAATTAATTGAAACTGGCGAAAGGATACAATTGGTCTCATAATGATACCAGAACAATAGATTTGGGGAGTGTGTGTGTGTGTGACATTGCCTTACAAAAGAGACCAGCCGTCTGACACAACATTTCTAAAAGAAGACAAAGAACTCCTAATTATGTTAAATTTCATTTGCTAAGTAATTTAGAACATGATTTAGTGCTTCTAAAAAAAACTGTACAAAATGATTTTTTTACATCTCAGAGGCACATGAATACAAACGTGATCTATATTATATATACACATTTACATTACATGAAAACTAGGGATGAAGATCAAATGAAAAAAGTGTATACAAAAAGTGCCCCAAACCAGCAGATAAAATGTGAAAACAAAATGCGCTCTTACAACAGAGAAGTAAAGGCACAAGCACTAAAATGTATAATCATGCAAAAAAGTGTAAGTACAATACTGTGCAACAAAGCAAAACAAATGGCTCCCACAACAGATTTTACAGTAATTCTCAAAATATCCCAGTATTTAAACATACTGAAGTGCAACATTTGCTGCCCTGTAGCATAACGTGAATACATTGCTCACATGGCATGAAATTCTTCCCCTTTCCTCCCAACTTCCATTCTCCAAAGCCAGAATAAATTAGCTAAGGGCAAGGTATTAAACAAGATGGGGACTGATGTTGGGTAGCATAGCAAGATCGCTGCTCCAACTGCCTGTGTGGAATAGTAACTACAGCACTTCTGCACCCATCGTCTTCTGCACAGTGAACGCGTGTCTACCCAGGACAACTGGCTCCCTGCCCTTTGTCAGTGCACAACGGCTTGAGACGGGGTTTGCCAGGGTGAATTTCAGTCTGCTGAGAACGGAGAGGCAAAAGGTGACAGCTCAGATGTCACAGTTGCACCACTAACAACCTCCATATATATATATAAAAAACACAGTAGTGTATACGTTCCAGGGCTAGGTTGCTGAACTATACCACAACAGTTAAACTTTAAACCTAGTGAAAAACCTGAAGTAAAAAGTATCCTTCCTCTAATTATATGATTGAATAGGTACTACTCTCACAGTTGAGCAAAGCTTCAAGACTTACAGCTTATTGTTTTTGGCCAAAAAAAAAAAAAAAGGAAAAATGTTTAAGGAACACAATGTAACACTGTCAGCTGGCTCTGCACTGTGACAAACTACTGTACAGTGACCCCAGTTGCAGGTGTTTCTATCTGAATGGGCTGCTCTCACTATCTATAAAGTATGGCTGCTAGGCTAAGTTAGTAAGGCTATACCTTGCAAACAAGAGTGTATACTTACGGCATGCAATTGGATTGCTATACAGAATCAAGGTAAAACTCAAAGGGATGTCCCTGTGCTGCCTTACATGGATGGACTTGAGGCTTAATTACACAGTATGTTTGAATGCCATGAGAATCAGCTTCAACATTTTGTCACGTAGATGGGACACAGCTTGTCTTCAGGACCACACCGAAGGCTTCGACAAGACTAGCCTGATACAGATCAATGCTAAAATCTTTGAGTCTCAATAGCTGAAGCCTTGCTGAAGCCAAGAATATTGCGCTTGTCCCTCCCACCACTCAAAGGAGCTGCCCCAAGGCACAGACGTTCTGAAAGTGGGCACAGTGACAAGACCAGGACTGTAAATGTCTACACAAGATATATGGGGGAATCCCACAAACAAACAATTCTCTTGCACTTCAGAGCAGCTAGCGGTATATTATTCAGTGCTGACTCGAAGCTGCAGATTCATGGCACGCTGTATCTGGACTGAGATTCAAAAGCAAATTGTCAGGCTGGCACAGCTAATCTGTCTAAAAATCTCATCAGCAAACCATAAAGTCACAAGCGTAATACAAATAATGCTGACCTAGACCTATGTGAAAAGAATCTGCAGCCTTATCTGTGCTGGACTCTCAGGCCAGGCTGGTCAGGAAAGATAACTCTACCAAGGTAAAGTTAGATGCTCTAATAAATTGCAGGGGACAGCTGATGTTTCAGGCACCACTTCCTTTGCACCACGTACACCACCACTCTCATCATTGCTGTCACACACAGAGCTGAGCAAGGAGCACCAACAGCCACAGAGCTCAGGAGGGAAACATCTAACCAAGACAGATCTCATCCAAAAAGCCTCGGCATTTTAGCTTGAAAGAAACAGCAGAGATGAGATTTCCCCCTCAGTCCCAGAGGTGGCTGCTCCATGTCATACTGGAAACACAGCAGTAGCACAAATAGTTGGATTTACTGCTCTCCTGCAAGTAAGAGGGCAGTCCTGCATTCCCCAAATATCCTGCCACATCAAGGGGCCGCAGGCTGCCCAAGAACACAGAAATGGACCCCACTCTCAAGCCAATCCAGTACCTTTTCTGAAAACTAATTTAGCACCAAACCCTCTCTCAGACTGATCACTCCTGACGTGCACAAGCCATCAATATTTGAGCTATCTTTGCTAAGGACTTGCACATTTTTTCTTAACCCTCAGCAAACTTCAGCTTTCTCCCTCAATGTTCAATCAGCAACTGCTTTGTTTTGATTCAAAAGACTGAATGACCACAAATGAGATCTCAAGTGGAAAAAAAAATGATATAGTCATCAATGCTGGTTAAGGGAGGCCAAGTAAGTTCTTTTGTGGGACAGCAAATGAGGTTTGAAGTTTTTCCCCCTCCTTTTTTTCCCCCCCCCCCTCCGAGCATAACAAGAATCTCTCCTTCCCTTTTTCCCTTTTCTTCAGTGACCATAGAAAATAAGGGCTGGGGAACAGTAGGCAAGAATTTTCTCTGTATCTTTGTTGACTTTCTCAAAAGTGGATTGCAGACCTGTTTCCATTTTACTATGAAGTAAAATAAAAACCTTAGTAGATTTCAGCCACAGCCTAAGTTTTACCTCCTTGTGTGCTTGACACACAAGCCTTCGGTTAAGTTGCAAAAATACCGTGTTTGTAAAGCTCAGCTGAACCCACATTCTCCCCTAAAATAGAAAACAATTACAGAAGCTCCAGCAAGGATGCCCTCGCTGGGCAGAACAGAACAACGTGTAAAGAGCACAGGACACAGACCAAACATGTTCTGCAATCCCCATCAGACTACAAAGGTACCTGCAAAGTTTCATTCTGTAACGAGAGCTCCACACATGCCACATGCTCCAGCAGCAAATACCTCCTGGGATCAATATTTTGGATTGAAAAGTACTGAGAAAACCCTGAGGACACTGCAAAGGGACAAAATGTCAGCAACTGTTGAACTATTGTCTGTAAAATCAGTTGTGTTACATGACCGCTGTCATACTCTTGACAACCTTCCTCAAGCAAAAATGACTTGAACAAGAATACGAGCATTGCTGCTTACACCAGAATAACTGAGCAGTTACTGCAGTGGAAGTTTGAGCCAAAGTTTTCACTCAAATTAATACAAGCCAAGCCACTGGTTTGGCAACTATTTGATCAACTGCGAGTTCCTTCCTTCCTTGGAAAAAATCCTTTAAACCACACTGTACAGTATTTGCTTTAAGAGAAAACCACTGTATATTCACTGTCATTAAATAAGAAAAATAATGTATTAACTTATTTGTCAATTCCAGCTCTTAGGTTCATCACATGTCACTAGCAATATGATGTAGAGAGCAATGAACAGTGACTCATGTAGCAGGCCACAATGTATGTTTATATATTAGCTTTCAAGCCCTCAATCACTAACCAGATTAGGGAGCCTAAATAGTGTAGGCCAAGATCCTTTCCAGGATAGTAACATAGTTCTACAGAAATAAACGGATCCTTGCCACGTTCAGACGGGAAAATATTTGGTGGCATGTGCATCTGTGAAGATTAATGATGTTATGTTTAATTGTCTATAGAGCTTGCTGAGAAATACTTAAACTTCTCCCAAGACCATAAAAGGAAATTTGGCAACAAAAGTGTTGATTTTTTTTTTTTTGAGACTTAAAGAATACTCTTTTTTTTGATGTCAGTATATTTTTGACTCAGTATCACACTCTGAAACCGGAACCATGCAACAGCTGCTGACTGATACCCAGAGTGGAACAACCAACATCAGAAAAATCTTGAGAGACTAGATTTTCAGGTACTGTGACATACAAGTTTTGAAAGACGTGTTTTTTCCACAGTAGCTTGTGTGTAGGATTAGTCTAATGAAGTACAACTTTTAGCCAGAAGCAAGTCATCTTTTCCTCACTGTACAAAGATACCCACGGTGGTTAGCAATTTGGTTGACCAGAACATCACTTAGTTCTTTCTCCTACAGGAGATGATAAGGAACAAATCAAGATATAGTACCTTGAAGTGTGTTTGCATCCACCAGGGTTAAATGAGAAGCACAATTTTAACAGAAGAATCTTCACTGCATTTGAGTATTGCTAGAATGTGATAGCACTGTATTTCTGAGTTTGAAGTTATCTGCCCAGGGAAGTGAAGCCATTGTTCCGCCAACAGTAATATTGACACAGAGGAGACAGAGGCCGATTGCCCTTCGCCAGCCAGGCTGTGAGCGGGAAGGAAGCCCACAGCAGAGAGAGAACAAATTTCTCTGAGAGCAGGCACCGAAATCGGTGCCTCCCTACCTCCTACACCTCCAGCCCGTGCTGCCAACGTAGCACTCCGACATTGCAGGAAGGCAGATCTCAGTCCAGTGTCAAGAGCAGATTACTTTTATCCCTGCCCCAGTGACCTACCAAAGATGATCCCTTACTACCAAGATACCTTCGTGTCATAAAATGCAATGATTTCTTTTCCGGGACAGAATGGCTCTCCAAGGCTTGGATGACAAGACAAGTTGGTCTAATACCACTAGCTATTGGGACTCAAAGTAAATGTGCAATTGCTAATTAGTTATTTTTAAATGTGGATAACAGAGGAAAACCTATATTTGTGAATGAAATGCTTCTCCCACCCCCAACCTACGTTACTTGTTTTTCAAATCCCACAGCAAGCGCCTGGATACGTTTTTGAACGACAGAAAGCAGTACTACACCAAGGGCCTCCACGGAAGCAGAAAGATAACTGTCCTTTATGCAATAAAAATAAAGCTACAAACAGCACCAACATGGTGTAAGACAACTCTTCAAGTACAAGCAGTGTGGAGCAAGGAACAGCTTTTAAAGGCTAAAGCAGCTGGGTGCAGAGCTAAACAAGAAGTCTTTTGAAAATTCGCTGCTGGGTACCCTTGGCTAGAGTGCCATTTTGAGGATTTCACCCAGATCTAGTGATTATTTACCTCTTACAAATATTCATCTGCATGAAATCTTGAATACAACTCTGATCACGTCTCCCTCTATTCAAGTCCAAGGGATCTGTGGTCTCAGTTAAGCAAGCCAGGCTTTCCGCTTTGCAAGTGTTCAGCATAATTTTTGGTGAACCAGTCCTCAACTTTGCTCATGTTCTATCGTAATAGCGATGGGGCTTAGACCATCACAATTCTGAAGCTGAATCCAGTTTAGTTGAAAATACTTCGGGGAAAACATTCAGCTTCCAATCTTACCTGCACCAGCTTCATCTCTGTTCAACTCCCCTGCATGAGAGCAGGGCAGCAGCACAGCTTACCAAAGACAGCTACCTCCGGTGGCAGGGCTGCTGGCTCACCCAGCCCTGCTTGCTGCAGCAGGCTAGCAACAGCCACCTGACAATTTCAAACAGTTCTCTGTGGCCTATAAAGAGAGTAAAGTCCTCAGCACAACCCACAGACAGCACGAAGTGGATGGAAATGTCATCACAAAGCGCAGGTGAGGATTCCTGTAGGCAAGGAAGTCTGTAGACAGCACCGAGCTGGCTTAACTGTTGGGTGTCATATCCAGAAGGATCAGCGGGAGGGAGAGGCACATGCATGGGATGTTTGCGGTGCTCCACCTGTTTCTCTACAAACAGAAGCTGCTGTAATTTAGCAAAGAACATTTATATTATCCCCAGCTGGCAAAGGAGTAATCTTTAAATCCCTTCTCCAGATTCCCCTAGAGCCTCAGGAGTCCAGCCCTGAGATGTTTAAACATAACTGCAATGTTTCGCCAACTGCATTAGAACCCTACAGATGTCTTATGAGCTGGGACACTGAGTCCCATAGTTATTCCTTTGGTCCCTCTGGCATTCCAGTCACTTTACACCAGCCTAAGGCAATTACACAGAAACAAATTGCTTTTGTTTTCTTGCCTTCAAGAAAGTCTGATTTTGGCACTTCCCTTCCCCCCCCCCCATGACTCCAGTAAGACATCACTGAAGGCAAGAGCACAGAGACTGCAGAAAAAAAAATATATATATATTTACATCCATAAATGAATACATATTATGTATTCAAATTTAGAGAAAAATGCATCACATATACACACACACCAAGATACATCAAGAGAATACTAGGGGCAAGACACTGCCAACAGCAAGAAATACACAGAAAAGCAGTCATTGCTACTGTAACATTCTTCTGGGGAGTGTACTCAAATAGAGGAAATATTTCTATGCACTGGGGTAAGCCAGTTACTTGGGCCCATTTTCTGTAACTATCCCTGCTTGTACCAGTTGGCATGAATCAAAAGGTGTTTTAAGTGTGAAATTTTTACTTAAAAAACTTTAGTGCATGGAATAAAATTTAACATTCAACTATCAGCCAATTCCGTAAGCTTTTTCTTTAAGTTACATTATTATTAAAAAGGTGCTAGTCCTACAACATGTGGCTCCGACTCAGGAGAGCACAGGCACAAGTTGAAGCCCATCCCTATTTAAGGCAGCATTTAAGCATACACTCAACTTTAAAGCTTATGTTCTGTCCCACTGACTTCTACGAGCAGTCACAGTACACGTTTAAAGTTAAGCACCTATGCAACTGCTCATCTAAATCAGGATGTGTTCCCTATTCAGAGCTTTAGGTGTGCACCTGTGTACTCAGTCTGGATTGGCAACTTCTGCAAGACTAAGCTCTTTTACTTTTTACCGCCCTAAAGGTACAAGATGCTTCACATCAGACTTCTCTGCAACACTGTCTTGGGACCCAGCTGGTCCTCCTCACAGCTCACCCTCAAAGTCTCACAGGAGTGCAGTTTGTCTGGGGATGGGAAAGCAAGTCAACAAGTGATTTAAAGGGCTCCTCCTCCCCTTGAAGTGGGCTATTTCACTTTTTTTTTTTTGTTCTGTTTTGTTTAGTTTTAAGAACTGGAATGTGTTCCTTCAGTGAAACACTTAAAATTAAGGGGTCAGGGGAAAGGAGCAGGATCCCAGAATTCATTTTAATGGCCCAGGATAAACCCCTGAAAATAGGGGAATAGAATTTGAACAGCTTCTTAGCCTCAATGCTACAGGGACCCTGGCATAAAACATACACATGCACACACACGCTAAAGGGTGGGCTGGCTCAGAGCACCCAAAAGGAGAATCCAAAGTGATCTTATATAAAAAGCACTTTGTGCTGACAGTGGCAAACAAGTGGATGGTGATTTTACACATATAGCAACAATTCTGTAATGTCTTCCTCACCTTCTCTTTTACTTTGTGTCTTTCCTTTTTCTCCCAAAGTTTTTTTCCCCACCTAATGTGTGGTTTAAGTAATAAAATTAAATTGGATAGGAAATTACACAGCCAGCACCAGTCAGGAACTGAACCTGGGTATGTTGATTGGTCTGCGGTACGCAAATTCCTGGAAGAACAAAAGAACAATTCTTGCTCTTAAAGTCAGGGTCACATCCATATGTTTCCACTGTCTTTTACCTTTACAACTAGAGGTAGAGTCATTTTGTCCAGTATCTAAAACAGCATGGTCCAGTTATGTTATTACATTAATATACATTATCTATCTTGTCACAGGTATTGAAAGTGCATGGAAAAAGTCTAACCAAGCCGATTCAATGACTAACAGTGTACCAAACATCATATAAACACACCCGCGCACCCACACTCACATGTAGTGTATATATAATATATATATATTTATGGATTCATTTACAGTATCAGAGTGTTGTTTAGATCCAGTGGCATGTGCAGAAGTATCAGGCAGTTGCTGCTTTTCCTTTATTATTCCCTTCAATTTTTAATTTCCAGGATAGATGGGTTGTGGTCTAGGATTGCCAAAATGATCTTGTCCATATATTGTCGCAATCTATAATTTATCTCCTCCTGTTCTTTAAGGGCTTCCATGAGCTGAAACACAACATTTCAAAGTTAGGCATCTCTTGCAGCACTGTCACTAGTTTATGTAATGGCATGACTTCAGACAGAGGTGAGAAACTAGCACCTGCTTAGGATTACTAATTCCCTTTTGTGACAGGTACTCTACCTCTACTTCCTCCCTTTCATCTCCATTAGAAATGGTCTATACGTTAAAGGTATTTGGACTACCAGGAGTCTTTCGGCAGGTCATTTGAACCAGAAATTCTACATCTAAACACACAAAGCCATCCCTCCTCACCTTGGTATAAGAGCTTTATGGTACTCAACTCTTCCCAAGTCTACTGAAATTGAAAGCACTTTGCATGGAAGGCTGGTGAACAGAACAAGACTTCAATATTCCTTCATGCTATCTTTCACAAAAGAAAAAACAACTCCCCAAACCAAAAACCAAACAAACGGGGGTGTGGGGGGGAAACAACCACACACTAAAAACAAATCCCCCCCCCCACACTCCATTCTTGAGAGCAACCCAGGGTATATCTTATATGTTATTAGTTCTACATGAAATACACGTTGCGTTTCACTAGACCTTTGAGCTCTGAAAGGCCTCATAGTGCCTCCAAAGAGGCAAGCACCTTGCTTTTTATACTCAGCACCTTTAATTGCACCTTTAATTTGCAATCTGGAGTATTAGAGTCTTAGTTCCTCCTTATGTTAATGTGATTTGGGCATCTGTTTCCATTAGCCTTCAGAAAAGTCCCATCCTGAATCTGCAGTCTCTTACCTGCATTCTGGTTATACAGAAAAACACTGCAGTGGAAAAGGTTTAAACTGGTCTGAGCTTTACTGAGCCTGGGCCACAACTGCAAGGCACAGTCTTCCTTTAAAGAAGGAGTCTTAGGTATCCCCTGCATGAGCCAGAGCCACAAGATTCAGAAAGGGGGAGGGAGGGGGGCAAGATTTGCCTTGGCAACAGCAAAAACTTAATTTGCTTTTATTCCGAGTTTAACAATTTAAACAGGTTTTCTTCACGTCGCTCTGCTTCAGCGAAAAACAAGTATGTACTTCACTTCAAGGGACTGCCCGGGGGGCTAAGGCTAACAGGGTCATTCAAGTACAGACTGAGTAGAAAGGTTTGTCTCAGGACTCCTCTTAAAAAAAGTGGAAAGTTCTGTTCAGAATAAACAAAAAATAGAAGCAAACAAACCCTTTTACAATCCTTCATCACTAGCTTGTCTCTTTCTCTGGGAGCTCTTACAACTCCATTGGCCTGATCTCATCATCTGTCCCAGTGCTTGAAGGATGCTTTTCAAACTGTATCAGCTTGACTTCAGCCCACATGCAAACTACATATTTCTTCCTACAGGGAGAATTTAGCTCAAGTTTAGATCTAAGTGACAGCTTGCTACCGAAATAATTTAGAACTAAATCTACAACAAAGAGTAAAAATTTAAGTAACTGGCTACAATTGTTTCTATATGAAAGGTCCATAACACACAATCCCCTGTGAAATAGAAGACACAAAATAAATCAATTGTAAAACTCTGCTGAGATTGCAATAACATGCTTTCTAAATTGGGAGGGAGATAAGTGAGCGAGCAGAGGTTAAAAGGAGCACCCCAAAATACTGCTAGATTCAAGTCATTTTTCTAATACTCTCCAACTCTTAGCAAAGCAGACTTTTCTGTGGCTCATTTGCCAGCTTCAGGTAGTTCACCTTGACAGTTAATTGCATTGAAAAAACAGTTTTTTTCCTCTAGTACTCCTCGATGAAAAACAGTGCATTACCTCATCTCTTGATGCGGAATCAATTTCAGCAGCCAGTGACTGGGCTTTTGTTTGCGTTGCAAAGAGATTTTTAGCTTCATAAAGACTTAGACTTAGGATCTGTCCGTTAAGATCATCATTTTGGTCACGAAGCTTCTGATTCTCCTATTTAAGGATCAAAAGACATTGTGTTTAAGTTCTATCTGCAAGATTTCATTAAAAAAAATCATCACAGGTAGCTTGGACGACATACTCTTCAGCTTGCAGCTGCACTGTAACTCTTATCACCAGGGAAAAGTCCTCCCCCTTTGAATTGCAGGCATTTCCTATGTGCACAACTTACACCGCTTGTGCAAAGAAGTCCTAGACAAACGCAAGGCAGGTCTTCTGCTTACCGGGGGGGGAGGGGGGGGTACAGAATCTAAAGGGAGCGTGGTTAAGGGTCATAGTTGTAGGCATTTTTCAGAGCAGTCCTGCACAGTTCACCGGAACTCACCCTCAGCTTGAGAGGCCTCCTCCCTACTCACCTGCTTCAGCCGTTTTATTTCATGCTCCATTTCCACCTCTCTGGTTTTGGCATTGAATTCACTCACACTGGATGAAGAGCTTCTGCCACGTCCTGGGCGCTCACATTCCAGCTTGTACAGCTGCAGGTGCTCCAGTTCCTTCCGCAAGTCCTCGATGAGCTGCGGAGATGCACAGAGGTCATTGTCTCCCCAGTTTCTGCATAAGCAGCCCTCCCTGGCAGGAGCCATCTCTGCGCACACCTTCACATTGCGACAGGAGCACTGCAGTCCTGTTCAAGGCTGGAATTCCTACAATATAGCTACCCGTTCCTCTTTGGAAACGCAAACCACACAAACCACTTCGGAACCGTTACACAAGCTGGAAGCAGCTCTGATCTCCAAGCCTGGTGCCCAAGAGGCATAATTCTCTTGGCAGACTTAGTCTTGAAGGTATGCCATAACCTTACTAAGTTTTTGAAGAGTTTACCCTTTGTGTCACGGACTGCCATTTATTAGGTATTTTTGCAGCATCCATCTCTACGGGTACCCCTGCTGTAAAAATATAATCCAGTAATATATTAACTGAAAATCCAACATTTAACGTTTATCCTGGCTCTGTCCATTCTTAGTCAGATGGGCTCCCAAACATATAAGATGCAATTGCTTGACATCCCTTGTCACACTTACCTCTTGTGTGGCTTCTCTCTCCTTGTTGAATTCCAGTCTGTTCTGTCGCAGCTTGTCCATCATTCTCTTGTACAAATCCATCTCGTCCTTCAGTCTCAGACTAGTGTCTTCCAACCTATCTGACATGCGTTGCCTTTCCTGGAATAAACGGGGAACTTTACAGCTAGCTTGAAAACACATGAGTCATCCTCAGTTGTGTAACGCAAATCTAGACACAGCTGGTCATAAGTTAACAAGGGTATCTGGCTACCTTTAGCGACAAGGTTCCAATTTTATTCACATTCCTGTTTTGGGAATGCCAGTTAAAAAAAATTTGGGACAGTCACTATATGAGTTTGCTCTTAAACAAATCAAGCTGCTGTCAAACTGCACTTGACATCACGGACACGTTTGGCACTCAGGAGTTTAGTTACCTCATCTAATTTCTCTGTTTGTGATTTCAGTCGTGTGACAGTGCTTTTCAGTTCACCATTTTCTTCTTCCAGTTGCTGAACCCTGTGTCAATAAGAGAAGTCTTATAGCAAATGTCTCTTCAAGAATGCAGGCATGCAAAAAGTATGCTCTAAAAAGCTATTTCACTTGCATTTCATAAGACGAAACAAGAAAGCCTTTCTAATCTTAGCATTTTTACTGTAAGTTATTGGGAGTTCATTCGTCTGTTTTTAAGGCCAAAAATACCACACTGACTCCGGTTCTTCTGGTCATCACAATAGGTATCTAAAGAGAATTAAGTAGGAAGGAACCAATGCAGAGACAAGTGCCTGGCACAGCTGGTGACAACTCCCTCCTTGAATCCATGCCAGAAATCCATCTAAGCTGTCTGCGTTGGCTATGTGGATTACAGCATTAATATAAGCCATTCTCCAAGCTTTTGGGCATTTTGGGCATTAGTTGCATGCATGCTGCATGCAACTGCGCAGCTACTCTGTAGAGCTATTAACCTGTAACCATCTGTGCACTGTCTGGTTATGAACAGCCTATGTTTACACGCAAAGGAGAGAGGAAGAAAAGAGCAGTTGCTCTGTTCTCTGTGGCACCAGTAAGTTTGTTACCTTGTATTTAGCAGCTCAATTTCTGTGCCTTTCTCTTTTTCATACTTGCTATATGCTTCTCGATGTCTCTTTATCTCTTCTTCCAGGGTCTGCTCTGCTGATGTCTCTTGGTCTTTCAATAGTTCTTCAAGTTCATGAACTCTAAGGAAACCAGAACTTCTTGCAGTAACACCTTTGCAAGTGCTTTAACATAACACGTACAATTTCATTGTCTTCCTCCCCACTCCTTTACTCCATACCTTTTCACCATCTCACTTGGCATTAGCCTTCTCAATAAGCACAGAATTAAGTAGCATCAGCTCATCTATTATTCTTTCATTCCCAGTCTCAAGAAGCTGGACTATTCCCCTAGCAATCACAGCCTTCCGCTCTTGCTATGTGCATTAGAAAAGCATGTGGGTCAACTCTCTTGCAGCAGAAAGTCTTGATCTGCACAAGTCAATCACATCGCTGCACTAAGGAACTTGCTCGGAAGGCCTCTGCTTGCTGTAAATTTAGCAAGGAGGTCCTATTCCACTTGGACTTCTCAGATGAAGCCCGATTGATTTGTCTGGCAGCATAAGGCAGAAGATACGGTCATACTTTAGATGGAGAAGTTCCTTGCCCCCAGCTTGGTTCTAGCTCTGCTGTGACTGACAAAGAGAACTGGCTCTGTGCTTTATTACCTGTGAACTAGCTGTGTGTTTTCCTGTTTCAATTTGCTCTTCAGGTCACCATTTGTCAGGCTATCGTTCTCCAGTTCAGTCACCTTTTTCTCTAGGTACGTTACCTGGAAGGCAAAGTGGAGAGGAGAAACTGAGACAGTGAATTTCCCTTCACACACCCTTCTGCTGCTTTAAACTAGCATTTAGCTATGATACTCTCTCTAAAGGGTAGCAAAGCCACCTTTCCCTGCAACGGCAGAGGCTCTCAAATTCCGAGTGCCCCCAAACTTGCATCTTCCTTGCAGCTGATCAATGCAAATACAGAGTAAACAGGCATTAATACAGTGTCCTAGATCTGCACTTTCATAGGTCTTGCATTTTCATGAAGCAGAGTCATGATATTAATGGAACATCTTGGACACTTTGAATGAGCAGCTTAAGAGAACTGGCAACTGTGAGCAAGAGAGCTTCATCAACAGATACGTGTCTCCAGCAGAGGTTCAGTTGGGTACATTATGGCAATGCACACAGCTCCTCACCTTTTCAGTTATATCGTTATCACAGGAGTCTATACTGTCTCTGAACAGGTCTTCTGTGCTGCCATTACTGCTGCTGAAGTTACTATTGTGGAAGAGCTGCCTGAAAGATCAGAAGGATAATTACTTTGCTTGATGAGGAAGGAGGAGGAAGAGTCTGTGCACTATCTTGTAGCCTGGCTTTGCACTTCAAACATCCTATGCCAAAATCTGTGCAATCATTTCAGTGACAATTATAACTGCTTAAGCACAAGCCTTAGAAAAGACTACTGGTAGCTAAATGAAGTCATACTGAGCACAATCAATGACATTAGTTCCAGCGTGTGAGCTCTTTGTTGCCTTTGACAGCATTTGTCACCAGCATTAGCATATTTTAAAAACTACTTAGCCTTATTCATATAATGCACCAAGCTGTACTTGCTGTATTAGAAATATAAAAAAAGGCCACCGCATTGTGCTGGTTGGTACAGTTAAGCTAGAAAATTTTATATATCAAGAGCTTTCTTTAAATAAAGAAAAAGAAGTCTCGAGCAGTTCCCATTACAGAATAGCGTCAGAATACATAAGACTGGAAATTATCTAAAACACTTTTGAGGCTCATAGCCCTCCCCAGCTCGGGACTGCTTTACTCAGCCAAAGGAAGATTCTAGTTTTGTACAACCGCCCTTTTTAAAGGGATGCTCTTGCTTTCCTTTGCGTTTCGGCAGCAACAACAATGAAAAGACCCAAGTTACGAGATCGAGAAGAACAATACCCGGACTGACGGAACAGCAGTTTGAGGGAAGAAAGCTGATGGACAAGGAAGTAACTATTTTCTTAACACAGCTGCCCTTTCCAGTTCAGGGGCCTGCCCCAAGACTCGCAATGACTTTCACATTCTGTAGCATTTCTATTCAAATAGAGACCCCTTCCCCTGAAAATTCATGCTTGCAGATTTCTGTTTTCCTAATCTTATTTGTCCTCTCTTCCCCTACCCCCAGTTATAGGATTGTTACAGTTGATACCCCAAGTATTCAAGGAAAGCGAAGACTCTTACCTTCCAAAAGCTGTGCTTGATATTTTCCTGTTAGGGCTACGTGGATACAGAAGGAATAACACGGGAATTAAACACTTATGTGATCAATGTCGGATTCAATCTCAGTTTAATCTCCAACTGAATCGCACAATAAGACACGTAACATTGATTTTTTTTTTTAGTGAAGTAAAAAAGTGATTCTGAGAGCAACAGTCTTAGAGAACTTAATCAAAAACTTTAGAGTTAATAAAAACCTGAAGATGAGTAGAGCCACAAAATTACTATGATCATTAACAAGTGGATTTAGGAATACTGTTACATTTAGCAGAGATGTATCAGCGTGAGTAGGAGTGAAACTAACATTAGAAATGTCACAAAGGGACACTAAGTTAGTGACGGATGTTTATTCTGGGTTCCCAAGTTTTAGATGATTTTTACAAACAGGCAGTTTATCCTTCTCACTTCGCCACAGGAATAGAGATGCTTTCCATTTTTAGAGTTTCCTTTCTTAGTTAAAGACTGGTTTTATTAGCCAAAGGAGGGACCAGACTTCAGACAAAAGCACTAGAACCAAATCAAAAATACCCAGTTGCATCTCTGAGGTAAGAGGATGTCATCTCTCCAAGTGCACACAGACGCACAGCTCTCTATCAGAGCACTGCTCTCCATCAGCCAGGTAAAAACAGCCTCACTCACCAAATTACCAAAGACACAGCCAGTCACGGTCTGGGTTTTACCAGGCTCCTTGCTACGGCAGGAAAAATTACAACACTGTTCACAGTATGCACTACGTCGCTGTGTTACCAAGAGAGGAGGCAGTGCACTGTGCTCTGTGCCAGGGCCTATGCAGACAGGCAGGATTTACATTCAGTTTCTAGGGACAGCTAGAAGGCCAGCGAACGATTTCCTTTAAAAACCCTAGCTAGGGATTGTTGGAAGCACTGGATTCTTTCCAAGCACTCTGCATAGTTTAAAAGCGGTTGGAGTGACAGGAATAGAAACGTAAGGAAAAATAAGCTGAAATTGCTAAGAACCCCCAAAAGTCATTTCTGCCCTAGTTCTAGGTTTCAGCATTTTGCCAAGTTCCCTTTAGGAGAAAGAAAATCCCTCCGGAATGAAGTACCACTGCTGACCCATAGCTTCATGGGTGGTGTATGTAAGGTTATATACATAAGCCAGAGCACTCCTTCCTACCCGGAGAAAACAGTAACTAACCGTAGATCTGCCTTAAGCAGCACAGCAGATCCCACTTCCTGGGAAAAATTCCTGGATAGAGCATTCCCACCCAGCAATCAAAGAGCTCATTAGTTAAAATATTTAAGGCACAGACAGCATTAATAAACCCAAGCTAGAGAGATACCTATTAGCTAATAAGGAACAGCACTTCAGTTTGGGCTAGATGTCAAGGTCTTAATTGCTTACTGTTAATTACTTAAGAATGACACCACACGTGCAAGACAGACAGGATGGCACGCAGAGGAGGAGAGGGCACTCCCCTCCTCCTGCCACCAGTTAGTCCCATTTCTAGGGGGATTGCTAAAAGCAGTGCAATAGGCTGCTTACCTGTTTGCTTTCAAGTTTTTCAGCCTGGCTTCCAAATCGTTGAGTAGATTTATCTTTTTGCAGCACTGCGAGCAGTAAACATCCAGTAACTCGCTGTTATAAACATGCCTCATTTTTCGGGGTGTTTGGCCAGCACTGTTTGCAGGAAAGGAGACATGTTACTAGCTATAGAAACCGACTCACATCAGGTTTTCCTCTTGACTGCGTGTCATTAAAAGTCACTAGCGAGGGGCCTGGGGAACATGTCGCCTCTCACTGCGGCTCATTACCTCAGAGGTGATGACTGGGAATGCCAGTCCTAGGGCAAGTCTACCTGCCTGAACTGAGTCTTTACAGAGGAAGCGTTCTGGGTATCAGTCAAAGGAAGCAGTTTGGGGGACCAGAAGAAGAACGCAAGATATACAGAGTCCACGTGATGCACGTAGGAGCAGTGACATCAGCATGTTTCACCTCAGCAGTGTCACTCCCTCTTATCTTGCCCGTCTTTCCACTACAGCCTGGCATGCAACCTGAAGGAGTATCTTCCTCCAGGAGAAAGACAGACAGGAAGATGAAGAAGAACAGAGCAGTCTAGCAGGAAGAAGTGACACAAACCCCTTCAGGTAAGAGGGCGGAGGGAGCCCTGGAATGAGGACGAAGGTAGAAGTGGACATAGGTCTAAAGAGTAGATAAGAGTAGCTCTTGGCATGGTAAAGGGAAAATAAACCAAAATAAAAGAGAGCAATCATGGCATGAAGTGCACAGAGCCCCAGGAACGGGAATGGAAAGGCCTGCACAACCCTGAGGAAACAGAGGATGAAGGACACAAGCCATCATGGCGGGAGGGCAGCAGAGAAGGGTAATGGCTCTGCATGCAGATGGAGGTGGCGAGGAAGGATCGCGGGAGCGCTTGAAACACAGGGTGGCACACGAGGGTTGCATGCAGAACAGGGATGCAGTGAGCTTGTCCTGCACTAGCAGTGACCTTCACATGCTACTGATCCAAGCAGACAAATCCTAAAGCATCTTCATGCTCAGCTCTGCCCCAACCCTGCCCCTCCATCCCCTTCTCGGGGAAGGGCTTTAAATCAACAACTGATTTGGTCACAGGACACAAGAGCTACCGAGAGTGAGGTCACATCCAGGGAACTGATACATTGCAGTGGCATTTCCAACTCGTAACACAGAGCAACCACTTGCTTATGTTCTCCAAGACACTCGAGGTCAACATGGATGGTTCTTCCACGCATGCCCCTGTCTGTATGCAGCACCTCATCTTACAGTTTATTGCTTAAGATTTGCAGTAGTAGAACAGTAAAGAGAAACAGCCTTCTTGCAGGTCTTCTCCTGCAC